GACGACCAGGCTACGCAGCGGTCGTCGCAGGGTTACACCTTCAGTCTTGGTTCCGGCTCTGTCTCGTGGCGAGCTACTCGCTCGTCCTCTGTTCTCGGCTCCAGTTGTGAGGCTGAGATCTACGCCGGGGCCATGGCTGCACAGGAGCTTCGCTGGCTCACCTACCTGCTGACTGACCTTGGAGAGCCGCCTCGTTCTCCTCCAGTGCTGTACGTAGACAACAAGGCCATGCTGGCCTTGTGTCGAGAGCAGCGCTTGGAGCACAGAACGAAGCACATTGCTCTCCGTTACTTTCTTGCTCGTGAGCTGCAGCAGCGTGGTCAGTTGCGACTTGCGTACGTGGCCTCTCAGGCCAACACTGCTGATGTGTTCACCAAGGCACTTGCGCCTTGTGACCATCAGCGCTTCTGCACTCAGCTGGGTCTTGTACCTGTCTTGCCTCACTTGCTCTCCTCTTGACCTTACTTGTACTGTCACATATATATATACCTGCTCTTGCTTGTCTAGCTCTATATATATATGTGTACTCCTGCATGTGAACTGGCCTTGTGGCCTTGTCGTTGTGCTCGGACTGTGTGGTGACGTTGTGATCCACCCTGAGCTTGCTCTGCTTTGCTTGACTGGTCTTGTGACCCCTTGTTCTCCCCCACTTTGCCTATGGGGGTGTGTCAGAACATTATATAGCTTATGCTGTTGTGTAGGCTATAGTGGGGTATCCCATAGGGGGTACAACCCAATTAGGGTTTTCCATATGTACTCACCTCATTCATAGTTCATTCATCCTCGTTCTTCATTCTTCTCAATAAGGAGGGTACTACGGTAGACAGCCCCATACTGCTTAGTGGGAAAATCGGGACAGACTTAGTTAAAATCTTCGTAGACGGGGGAGCCAGCCACAGCCTCATCAACACTGCCACAGCACGGAAACTGAAACTGCCACTGGACAGAGGCTTACCTGAGATCGATGCAAGATTGGTTGACGGCACGCCACTGGCGATACGGGAACGCGTAGACCGGGTTCGGATTCGATGCGGGGGTAACTTCACGTTTAGCCAGGAAATGCTCGCGACAACCCTCGACGGAACCGACATTTTACTCGGTCGTGATTGGCTGCGACGACACAATCCGCGAATCGATCGGACGACGGGTGACTACACTGTGCGAGTGAACGGTAACAACATCGCTTTACCTCGCTGGGGCTCGTCTGAGTCTTCGTCGGTGCGTGTCAACGCGATCACAATGAAGCGCGCCGTAGCGGCAGGAGCTGACGTGTACGCGGTTGACATTCGGGAAGCCGAGGCAGCAGACAAAGGGGGGGATTTACAGAAACTGCAAACCGACGTACCGGATGACCTGATAGCACTCCTTAAGCAGTACAGTGACATATTTCCGGACGATCTGCCGACGGGACTGCCACCTCAGCGACCGCACGACCACAGGATAGAACTAGAACCGGGGGCACAGCCGACAGTACAGCAACAGTTCCGACTGACCCAACCCGAACTAGACGAACTAAGGAAGCAGCTGGATTACCTGCTCGAAAAAGAGTTCATTCGCCCGAGTTCGTCACCCTTCGCAGCACCGATACTGTTCACGCCGAAAAAGGACGGGGGTTTTCGCATGTGCATAGATTACAGGGCACTGAACAGGGTTACCATTAAATCCCGTTACCCCATCCCGCGAGCTGACGAACTGATCGACCAACTGCGCACAGCCCAGGTTTTCTCGAAAATCGACCTTAGAGGAGGTTACCACCAGATTCGCGTCAACCCACCCGACTGCCCCAAGACAGCTTTCCGAACACGCTACGGATCCTTCGAGTACACCGTCATGCCTTTTGGACTTACCAACGCCCCCGCCACTTTTCAAATGACAATGAACGAAGCTTTCCGCCCGCTTTTAGATAAGTGCGTCATCGTATACCTCGACGACATACTGATTTACAGCCCCGACCGCGCACAGCACTTACACGACATCGAAGCAGTTTTTAAAATACTGAGTGAGAACCGCCTACTGACCAAAGCTTCTAAGTGTGAGTTTTTACAGGACCGCCTAGAGTTTTTGGGACACATTATTTCAGCTGAAGGAGTGGAAATAAACCCGAAGAAGATCGCGACGATTCAAGCATGGCACGCGCCGACAAACTTGACCGAGTTGCAGAGTTTTCTGGGGTTCGTCAACTACGTGCACCGGTTCGTCCCCGACATGGCGAAGTTGACTGCCCCGTTGACCGACCTGCTGAGGAAGGGGGTTGAGTACACGTGGGGGGAGAAAGAGCACGCTGCCTTCTCGGCCCTCAAAGAAATTTTGTGCTCGCCACCTGTGCTTCACATCGCAGATCTGCACCGTCCGTTCGAGCTCGTCACCGACGCTAGCGACATCGCTATGGGAGCAGTACTGTATCAGGACTTCGGGAACGGCCTCCAGCCAATCGCGTACGAGTCCCGCAAGCTTCACCCGCCCGAACGCAACTACCCGATACACGACCGCGAGATGCTGGCAATCGTGTACGCGTTCAAAGTGTGGCGATGTTACCTCACGGGAGCAGACGTGACAGTACGGACAGACCACCGATCACTACAGTACCGTCGCGCCCAACCGAACCTCAACCCGCGACAGATTCATTGGTTGGACTATCTGGAGTCCAACTTCCACTACACCGTCACGTACAAAAAAGGTGCATCCAACATCGCCGACGCACTCACACGCCCCACCGCCCAACTCCACGCCATCCTACTCGCCCAAACCAACCCACTGCTAACTGGCCTATTCACCCACGAATACAGCACCGACCCATTTTTCACGACCGGAAATCCACAGCAACTGGCTGAAGCAAAAGGAGTTTATTACGTAAAAACAGGCACCAACCGCATCTGGGTACCCGCGTACTAACTACTGAGGGAACTGTTACTGCAGGAGGCACACGACGGGATTACCTCGGGCCATTTCGGGTTAGAAAAAACGCGACAGCAACTGCAGCGGTACTACTACTGGCCGGAGCTGTTGACCGACGTACAGCACCACGTGGGCTCGTGTCCTACGTGTCAGGTGATGAAGAGCTCGCGAAAAAGAAAGGCGGGTCAGTTGCAGCCGATTCCACCGCCTAAGCGCGCCTGGTAGCATGTTACCATGGATTTCGTCACAGGGTTACCTTCGAACCCTGGGGGTAACGACGCGGTTATGGTCGTCATTGACAGGTTGACGAAAATGGCTCACTTCGCTGCGTGCAAGAAATCGATCTCAGCCAAAGAAACCGCTCGCCTGTTCATCGCAACCGTCGTTCGACTACACGGGATACCAGCCGCGATAATCAGCGACCGCAACACGATGTTCACCAGCAATTTCTGGAAGAACCTCTGGGAGCAGTTCGGGACCAGGCTACAGTTCAGCTCGTCGTACCACCCCGAGACCGACGGTCAAACGGAGCGGACGAATCAGACGATGGAGCAGTTGATTCGTGCCACGTGCGACGACCCGACAACTTGGGAGCAGCAGCTGCCGCTGATTGAAATCGCGTACAACAATGCCACGTCAGCAACGACGCAGCAGTCCCCATTTTACCTGAACTACGGGCAAAACCCTACAGTGCCCATGACGCCGAGTCCTGACAACCCAACGCCACGTGCACAACAATTCGCCGAAATTCTGCAAGCTGCCCGCACCAGAGCCACTGAAGCAATAAAAAAAACAAATGTCATCGCTAAGCGCAACGCTAACCACCACCGCCGCCCAGTCACATACCAGTCAGGCGATTACGTACTGCTCGATACACAGAACTTAAGACTGCCCGTCGTACCGAAATTACGACCCCGCTACTGTGGACCATTCCAAATCAGCCACATGATTACCCCAGTGACAGCCCACTTACTGTTGCCGACGGACTGGTACATCAGCCCATCATTCCACGTCAGCCTACTTCGCCCCTACATCCCAACCACAAGCCAAGTGCCTCGTCACCGCCCGCCATCCATGACTCGCCCTGCATCGGAGCCGATCATCGAGCCCGAAAAGATCCTGAGCCATCGGATTCGACACCCCACGGGAATCAGGAGGATTGAATCCCTCGTTCGCTGGAAGGACCGCACGTCAACTGAGGATAGCTGGGTGCCCCTGGCCAACATCGAAAACCACCTTGCCCTGCAAGTGTACCTGAGGAGCCGGGGTTTCCGCGATATACACGCACTCGCATAGCGGAGGGGGCTTCTTGAGGGGGGGGGTAGTGTAAGGAATTTTCTCGACATTCCTTAGCGCAGCCCGCAACATCGCGTACAGCAACAACCGTTGTTCGCCCGTTACTGCTAACGGGGCTTCGCCAACATCGCGCGCACTGTTTTCACCAAACCTCACACTGCTCGAGCAGCCGAGTCGGCCTACGCTTCGGGACTAGCCCGAACCTCGCGCCAGCGTAGCACTAGCTAGCTCGCACGCGCCGCGTTACCGTTTGCATGTTTCGCGTATAAATGTTCGCTCATGCCTTCACTCACATTTTGTACTTGTTTTGACACCCGTAACAGCTCCCAAGCTGCAACCTTGAATGGCGTCTCCTCGTTATGTTGCGTCCAGCTCCCAGTAGTTCGACCAGCTACACCGCTTGACAATATCATTACGGAAATAGTGTTTGACACGAGTATACTTTTTAGCACAGCACAGTAGCCTAGCCTGCAACCCAAATTCGAATAAAGCAGCAGTACTGTGTCATTGATTAAGAAACAAGTTTGATTTATTGAAATAACTCAATAATCGGCTACTAAGAAGCACTAGATATCTAGAGAAGGGGGAATTGAGAAAGACCCGGAAAGGTACCAGGCAGCTACGGGGGCGGAATATCGTCAGCACGACAGGCAGGAACGACAGCCGGGTGGAATGGCAGGACACTACTTGCTGGCAAGCGATGTGGTGGGCACAGACCGGACCGGAAGTGGATGGGTGGAACGGGAGCTACTTGTTGAGCCAAATGGTGGTGCTGTGGTTGAGGAGTGTTGAATGGGATGGCAAGGCAG